GAGACAATCCAATCACATTCCTAGAAACAGTTTGGTCATATCTAGGATTTGAAACAATGATTTCCCCGAATAATTGTGCAAAAAGCCAGTAGTATTATACAAGATGTCTGCCGCAGCGACATTTCTTTCGTACATCATCGGTTACCTCATGCGAATTACACAAATGGACATTACATAGATGTTTATGAGGTATGGAGTGAAAAATAGATTCTGAGGCGAGATTCATACAACTTGTTCCCAAGACGATGTGACTGGTTTATCAATACTTTTTTCTCTCTCCGAATACATATATATATATATATGAATGGAAATGATTAGCGAATTGGTAAGGATGATTTGTAAATGTGTGTGTGTTTCAGTAGGTATAAGGTGAAGGGAGACGGTTGGAACACGTGGATATGCGAAGAAAGAAAGTTAGTAAACCCATTAAACCTGGGATTGTAGGCAACGATAGCTGATTGATCAAGGTTAAGAGGGAAAGACGGTGATACCGGTTAGAGGACTGAAAGAAAACACACGTCACGTGATGTTCTTCGTTCAATTCCATCGATCCAGCGATGGGGTACAACAAACCCAATGTATCCAGTTTGTTTTAAGTCCGCAATTGAGCAGAATAAACGAAATGTGAACTTCTCGCGACGTGTTTTTCCCCGGGTTTGGATACAATTTGGCTGGAAAAATTTCGAAACCTGATACTGACACTGATAGGCTCCACACATTCACACGCACACACAACAATCCATGTCCCAGCTAATATATTCTGACCTAAAGGATCTATAGGCATGTACACACACACACACACACACACACATATATATATATATATATCAGGTCGCAGAGACACGTATGTGTTGTGCAACTAACTATATACAGGTGAATTGCGTCATGACGCACAAACCTATGTCCACAAATCAATGATGACATCTGACGAGGATTGGTCAACCATTTCAGCTTATATCAGCACATACATACACATATGCAGGTGTACAGGTGCATGTATCCACACGCACGTCTGTGCAACGAGAACTGAGGGCAACCGTATCTCTCGCTCTCTGGTTCACGGAACAGAACACAACACACACGAGAACACTTGACTTGTTCGTGTGTATCTCTTTGCTTGCACACGTGCTTTTACGTGTACAAACGAACACAACGATAGAAACTTCAATCTGCACAATACGAACATCGAATTCAATTCTTTCCCTCGTCCTCAATGTCCAGAACTGGATACACACTGTGAACTGGATTAGTCCATTTCCACCAATCATCTCAACTCTGGAATTAGTTTTGTTCAATGCCTGTCAACCCCTTGACCATTCACAATAATTTGACCCTAGTTGTTGTCCAGCACGGATTGGTCAGATTGATTGTGACCTGATTGAATCTGTTGGACACGAATTGGAACACGTACACCTCCCTCCCTGTGACAACCAACACCACCACCACCACCACCACCAGTGTCGGCATAAAAACCAGGATCAACTTTGCCAATTATATTATGTGCATCACTTGTCCAGTCTGGCGCAAGTGTTCTCGTACCTGTTTGACCGTCGGTCTTTCATTCATTCTGGCCTACTCAATTTTTCAATGTGTTTGGTTCCTGGTGTTCACGAGCATCCTGGCCAGTCCGGATCCGACGCATGTGATAAACAAATTAGCCCAACCACCCTCTCCAGTGGTTCAGTTACCCCGTGCCCATTTTGGATATGCTTATTCGGGAAAAGATGTCTCGCTGAAACCGTTCCTCATCACTTCGACTGAACGAGTGGCAAATAAACCGCATTCGGGACCGTTAGTCAGGACTGGAATAAAACAACGACAAGCACAGAACTCCGATGAACTGGAATCCAAAGCGAAACGTCCAATCCCGGCGGATGAAGACGAGGAAGCGAATGAGGTTCGCGATCGTGATGACCCAGATTCGAAATCCGATCAGGTGATTAACTCACCTTCACCACCGGTTTTCGGAAAATGGTCCACGAGACATTGTAAACATAATGCACCATACTACTCAAATTCACACGTATCGCCAATCAAATCGATCCAAAATAGCTTGCCCAGTACCCTGCATATGCTTAACACACTATCCCCCAGTAAACAGACATCTGATAGACTAACCGTCGGAAGTATTCTACCCCATTTGTGTCTGACAGAACAAACTCAACTATTGATTGTGATCCAATCGGATGTGCGGAACTCATCGCAACGTAATCGAATCCGACAGAGCTGGTCCTCCCTAGATTATTTCACCTTTGACGCAACCGGAGCAGGGGATCGGGGACCGGACAAAGTCGAATACCTGTTTCTGGTCGATTTTGTTCACAATCAATCCGTGCTGAACGCGGCTCAATTGGATTTGTTCACGCTGGAAATCAAACGAGAACAGGACGTGTTACCGATTCGTATCATTCCCGAGGAACAACGGATGTATCACAGCTATCTACAGGCCAGTGAATACATTCTCACCCGGTGTGGATCCCGCGTGCAATATGTGGCTTTCCTAACCGACGATCTGATGCCCAATATTCCCTTGTTGGGTAGTTTTGCTCGGGAAAATCGAAATCGACCGCGAAGCACAGATCACATAGAACCGATGTACTGTTTTTCGGTCGAGGAAGAACGTCCAATAAGACCACGAAAGACCAAACAACCGGGCAAAGTGATTGTGACCCAATCTGAATGGCCGCGAACCACATTTCCCACCTATTGTGATTTAAGGGCTGGCGGTTTTCTAATTTCCACATCGAGTTTACAATTGTGGATGTCCTGTGCACATGTGTATCGTTCATTCATCAAATTGCCTCAGATCTTTTTGACCGGAATTTTGACCGAGGCGGCCGGTGTGCCAATTCAACGATACTGGACCACATACGGGGAGCCGGTTCCCCTCCTGCCCAGTCTGGGATCCGGTTCGGAAGCTGGAAAACATCTGTTTTTCACGCAAACTAATCTGCAACCTTTGTGGGTATGGAAATCCGTGTTTCGGTCAATGCTCAGTGAAGCACTACGGTAATTTTGAAATGAATCATACATTATATATGTATACATATTTTTCTACTATTTTGAACCTTTTTGTCTTCTGTTAGTGATTCTGTGTGATACTGCGTTCCAGTTCGTCCCGTTCATCCGTCTCCATCCCATTCTCTATCTGTTCCTAATGATCTGAACCAGGCTACGATCATATTGTGCACGAAGCCAAGTGTTAGGACCAAGTGAGCATAGGGTCCATGTATGTACATTTATCACAACCCCTCCCTCCGTCCCCCCTTCCATACACAC